TCCTGAGGTCCCTTCCAATCCCTACCATTCTTGAGGAAAGCCGGTTTATGGATTGTGCTGTTGGTCCAGTCAACCATTCTCCCTCTCCAACACAAAAATCAGTTCTCCTACATTCAGCAGTGAGACAGGAATATGGGAGATGATAGCTCAGTTCCTATTGGTCTCAGGAAGTCAGATACAGGATGGTGACCTCCAGCAGGACAAGCAGATCTCGGCTGTTAGCATTGCTTTTGGCAGAAGGCAACTGCAAGTCAGCCACCATGTCCAAACAGCTGACCAGCCAGACTTCAGCTTAGCCACTCACAGCCTGCACTGTTTGCACTGCTGGGAAGGGGAAAGCAGGGAACCAGGTAGAACCTCATCAGTGGAGCTCAGAAGACATCACTCATCTGAGGCCTCGCTACTCCTGTGCTCATGGAGCAGCTTCACTCGAGTTGGTGTGGTTTATGTTCACACATGATGCCCACCTGTTTCGGCCTCATCTCTTCTCTTTTTCATCACTTACAACACATGTTGTTCCCTCTCTTTCCTTCAGTCTCTTATTTGCCACTTAAAGGCATCATGGCCTTTTAAACCTCTACCAAAAAAAATAGAGAATGAGGCTGCTTGTATTTTGGTAGTTACAGTCGGTTATCTACTGAGAGCAGAAGAAAAGGAGGGGATGAAAGTAGGAGCAGAACTTTGTGGAAACTCAATGACCTACATTATCTATTAGATTTTTATTGCTCTAAAATAATTAGGAAGATTAATGTTGTCATCTCCATTTCAGAAGCTCTGATATACATGCACATTTTAGAGTATTTTATAAAGACTAATGTAGTCATCTGCCTTAAATACAGCAGACCTTTTACAAATAACAGTTTTATATAATCCACAGTGAAATGTATATTTGCATGAATAGCCTCGATCCGTTAGAGGAAAGAAAAGGATTTAGTCAGAAGAAAAACTTGTTCATTTCTGATATTAATATGCAGATTTAACCTAAGAGGCAAATAATTTAAAAGCATTACTGCAGTCATCATTAAAATGGAGAATACTGCATTGTCATTATATGGCTTACAAGCAGTAGTTTTTTTTAAATAACCCACAAACTCCTCTGGTCTCCCTAATACTCAGGTTTTTCCTCCCTCATTTCTGCAGATAATGCTAACATCCAGATGATTTTCTTGATTGTTAATTCACAGTAATTCACTCTCCTATTTTGTGAATTTCCCCCCAACTTGCTTTCATTATTCCACTGCATTACTCCAGATACCCAAGACTTGGCTCGTGTCTAATATGGATTTCTCCATGTGCCCTGGGGCAGACGAGGGCTCCAAACCCCCATGCTGGTCTAACATCATAGATGTCCTCTGCCCTGGCATTTCATGTGTAAACCAAACTCCTTCCCCACCTATCCCCATGCTGAACAAAGATCAGAAGATACTCTCACCTGAAAATCTACATTAGGAGAGAGGGGATTACAAAGGATGTGCAATGGTAAGAAAATTAATTGTGTTCCTAACATGCTTCGTCATAAGGCATGTAGACACTTCATAGCACAGAAGTATAAGATAATATGATCTATGTTACCTTACAGGTGTGTTTTATGGATTATGAGCTCCAAAATTGTGTTTAAGAATCATCCTTACCTATTTTGCAGCTGATATCCTAAAGGCTATCTTGCCTGTGCAACAAGGTGGCCAGCTCTGGTAGCACGGCTGCTTGATAGGCAAGGAATAGGAGGGAAATTCAGAGGGATGTATACACCTCACTGCCCTATAGTCCTTTGTAATTCTCTGTCTAGAATCATCGGTCCCTAGCTGTTTTGAAAGCTCTGTAGACTACACTCAAAATGAGTTTCACTCTGTACTACAATGTAGCTCAGTATTAAATTTTTATTTTAGAATTAATCAGGTCCAAAAGCTTCTATTGATAAGCAGTTACTTTGAAAAAAAATTTATATCAGCCTCCTCTTTTTTTCCCGAGTGCCGAAATTTATAGTGGCTCATGAAAGCCACCTTCTTGTAATTAGCACACCAGTTGCTAAAGCTCATTTCCCTTTAATTACAAAGTAAGACATGGGTAACTTTGCTCTCCTCCTGTCTTCTACTCCAAAATGCACCTCCAATGCTTCTAAGATTAGCTTTCAAATAATTTTCAGAACATGTATGCTGAAAACAACCCAGACTGCAGTTGGCCCATTACCAGAAACAGTAAATGGTGTGAATTTCAAGTCAGGTGGTGTTATTTTACAGTTTTTAAACTACCTATGTGAGACCCAGCTGCACTGTCAGTGGGTGAGGTTTTTAGGGACTGTGGCAGTATTTCCAAACTATTTCCAATTGGAAATAGTTTGCATAATGGCAAACTATAACAAGTTATGCAACAGCATTGCAGATGTAGATTCTTTGACAGCCATAGCTCCGGAAATACATTTACAATTTTATCAGGTAGAAATGAGCCAATTTAAACTTAGCTCCCAAAGGCATTTCTTCCAGCCCAGCCGTGGTGCTGCAGAAGTTACTACCCAAGAGCAGCCCCAAGCTGCTCAGCACCACATCCCTGCTGGGTGCTCTGACCACGGCTGGCATGCCCTCTCCTTCGTGGTCTCTGGAAAAGCTGTTCTCTGCCTCACCAAATCTCTGCTGACTCTATAAAGCTAAAGAACTCTCCTCAAAGCCTTGTTGCTTTTGCTCTCTCCTTTTTTATTTTTTGTTTCCCTTTTTTATTTTTTAAACACTCTTCTGTGTCTTCAAACGTTTGAGGCTCCAACATTTACAAAATTCTTCATTTAAGATCAAACTGAGACAACATGGGAGTCTCTTCATTAGTGTGCCATTTCTATTTCAGGGTGCTGATCAGAACAAAAAAGGACAGTTTTTCATTTCATAGTAGAAGAAACAGGATAGTGTGAGTTGCATTAATTTCAAGCTAAAAGATTGTTAAACTGAAGTTTCAGGGGCTGATTCACACTTTGCAAGTAATTTTACAATTAGTGACTGAAAATGCTAAGGTTTATATTCAAATTAAGTTATTAGGAATAATTTCTAAAGAGCAGTTATATCCTGCAAACATTTTAGTACTATAATCAGACTCCTTCCTTCTTTGTACACTCTTATTTTTAATGTGTCCCTATAATAAGCAAAAACAAATTTTCAACATTCTCTCAACCATAACATGATGATATATTGGATCTTACAACTGTTTGTAGTAATTTTACTGGGGCAAAGTATACAGCAGCTGTGATCACATAAGCAAATTTTTTTTGTACATAGAACCTAAAGTAAGAATAAACTATTCTGGTCTGTGTCCGTGAAACTGAAGCAAGCTATATGGAAGCACTGAAAATTTTCAGTTACATGGGTGTATGAGGTTTTTGTCAGATCTACAAAGGTTACTGATTTACAGAAACACTGGCTCAAACACAGTGACTACTGAACACATCCCAGCAACAGAATCGGTATTTTTGTTAGACAAATGGCAAAGATAAGGGACAGTCATGAAGACTGAAACCACCTTTCACTCCTGAATGAACCCTGCATATAGTGGCTGACGCACAACAGCAGGATGATTTGGTTAGGTTTGTATTACTGTGCGTAATGCTACATAGGTTAGTTTGTTGGAGAATTTTGTTTATTTTTAAAAAAATCAAAGGAACAGTTATATTTACACACACAGACAAATAAAAAAGGTGAGGGAAAAACAATTGCCAAGAGAATCTCTCCTATTGGAATACTCTGCTTTTACCATGATATCAAAATAATTTTCCAGCCTGCCTCCCTACAATAAATACCTTTTGTTGTAAGAAAGTAACACATCATACCTTTTTCTGCCTTGCTTGTGTTATGTTTTTCAAGTAGGAGGTAACGAGGACTTTCAGGAAGAAAGGGCAGAATCACGACTTGTATCAATGAAGGAACAATGATCGCTCCAAATAAGTAAGGCCACCGTGATTCCTGCAAATGGATGCAAACATAAGTCAGTGATACTCTCCCATAGTGATACTATGAAGAAAAACAGCTTTGATGGGAAATACTGTAACTTTTCGTCATTCAACATATCGTGTCAGTGAACAGAGTGGTGCCTTCTGCCTGAGCTTAGTAAGCAGTCTGAACTCTTCCCTCTGTGATTTTTTTCCCTTCCTTCAGCATCAACAACTATACATGTAAAAAACTGATACATATACAAATATATATTCTACAAATCATCCCCACTCACAGTAGTATCACTCATTACTTTAAGAAACAGTACAACACTATTTTCGTATCATTACATATGCCTGTATATTGTCTCTTAGTCTAATCTAATTGATCTAAAATATATATATAAAAAATATTTGGCTAAGTCCTCTAATTGTCATAGTATAGGTAAAATCCTAATAACACTTCAGCTAAGCTGCAGTTTAGCACAGTTTTGTGGTTCTGGGTGTAATGCAGGCAGTGACCATTCAGCATTTGACAGCTGCTGGGAATGAACCAAGCTGGGCTGAGGTCTCACCACAAGCCTCTTCTACTTGGCAAAACACATTTGCCTTACAAGTACAACTAACACACATGTCAGACAGTCTTCATTTCCGCTCAGAAAAGAAGACATACACAGTTCAATGCAATTAGAGTGAAAGACAGGTACATAATTTAACAACAAACAAGATACCTGGCTAAGTGAAGTGAGGTTGTCTTTAAAATGTTTTCTCTTACGCCCAATGATTCCACCTTTTAAGCTGACTTCCATGCTAATTTAAATATAAGAACTGGGTTTCACTCATTCTCCTGTCCAAAATCACAGGACCTTAGAGAAGTTCTTTGGTTTTATGGTAGTGTAACTAAGAATAACACATTATACTGTTTCCCACTCTGAATTAGCTAACCTGAGATGTTCAAATGAAACACTGACAGCCTTGCTCCCAAGTCCATGAAATAGAAAGTACTTTTTCTATTGTCTTGCAAGTCATCTGCTGGATGTCTCCAGCAAGGACCTGAAGGATGAGAGCCACCTGCAGCACATCCCTACCAACGTAAAGCACCCATGACCCCCCTCTGTCGACTCCCCCATAGAGAAGCCAGGCAGTTTTAACCTGCCAGAGCCCCACTGCAGAGCAGCCGAGGAGCACAAGGTGATGCACTAGCCAACACTATTTATATGAATCTACTCAACTGCTAGCTGATTTCAGATACAGTTTGACTTTGATAATTATCTTTGAAATCAGCTGGAACAGTTGTTAACATCCTCAAATATAGTAACTATTTAAAACCAGCTACAGAGGGTGACCTGAGCAAAGCTCTTTCAGGAAAAGACTAGGACAGGTAGCAGAGAGCTCATCTAGCATTCTGGGCTTACTCTCAAGACAGGATATTTTCAAGTGGCTGAAAGAGAAAGGTGGTAGCAGTATTTTTTACTCCTGCAAAATGGCCCTTGATCTGTCCATGTTTTTAAGATGCACTCTGTTCCAACCTAGTGCCAAGATGAATTTTTTTAGCTGTTTTTTCCAAATTCAGCATTCATCTATTTAATTCAATGCTTTCTAATTCGAGACTTGGTTCTTAATTGAAAAGCCTGCTGAGACTATTGTTCAGGCATCATGTCTAGCACATTTTCAAAAGCTTGGCTAGATCAAAAGCGGACTGTGCTGCATCCTGTCTGACTGAGCTCTGAGAGGCACTGGGGATTTGGATCCCATCCCTCCATCAGAATGAATCCATCCACTCACAGCCTACATTTCCCTAAACAGAGCTGGATAAATTTTATTCTAATATAATCTTCCACAGTTAAATCAAAGGTCAAAAGCCCCTAAACTACTTTCTCTTGATAGTTTTATTTTACATTCTCCCACTTCACCAATGCAACTGCTAAAACACAAATTATTGTACGGTTCAGGATGTAATCCAAGCCTCGAATCTGAACTGCGGCCTGAGATAACTTAATCACATAGAGCACAGACTATGCATGGTATCTCCTAATGAAACTTTTCACCTGCCCTTTAATTGACAGTCTATTTTTTTTTTTTTAAACCTCTTGGGATGGGAAAACAACTTGAGTAAGGGATTTTTTCAAACAATTTAATGCTGAAGGTTATCTGTCTTCCTTAGAGCCTCCATTACCATGAGGACTTCAAGATCCTGTTTCTTCATTCTGAATTTTTTTTTTTAAATGCAGTTGAGTGGAAAACCTTACCTAATACAGAAGAACCAAAAGTAGTTAACAATCTGTTTATAAATAGGTGAGCCTGAGTCTTATTTTAAAAATTAGAAAATTAAATTTATGTTATGATTTCAAGTTCAGTTAGTAAATCACATTAAAAAATAGGTACCTCTTTGTAAAGAATAACTTAAGTAAACAGGCAGAACAACTGATTAGTTTTAGTCTATGTCTGCCTGGAATCAGACATTTATTTCACACAAAGTCATTAAAAAATAGTCATTGTTTTACTTAATCTCTATCATTATTTCCTATAATATAAATACACTTGCTATGTACTATATAAAATAGTTCAGAGGGTGTTAGAACTTTTTCCAATACTTTTAGATAAAAATCTTACTGCAGGTTTTTTCCACAATGCCACAGACACTTTTTGAATGAAAAAAAAAAAAAAAAGTCTCTATTGTATATTGTTGTTGCTAGCATTCTGCCAACCCATGGAGACTCACTTGGAATAAGCTTTCACCCCTTTTAAAGTCACCCATAGTGTATCGTTTTTCAACTGGTCACATTTCTCCCAAATAACTCTTCTGAAAACATTGTTTTGCAAAAGCTATGAAGGAGACTGAACTTCTGAACTTACCCTTCACAGTAAATAACAGACCCTGACAGTACAATTAAAAGCCCTCTATTTTCACAACATAAGACACCAAGCTTCCAAATTTCCTCTATGAAAGATTTATGTTTTACTTTTTATTATGCTAACTTTTAAAACCTTAAAGGAATACAATCATAAATATGCTCCCACTTGCCATCTCTGGCATGAATTGATCAGTAAGTCACTGAAGTCAATGGAAACTTTTCCATCCATTTCAAAAGTTTTCAGATGATGACTGTTCAATGCTATTCCACTTGCTTTTCTCTTAATTTACATTATTCATGTTCCAATTCTTCATCCCACTACAGAAAAGAAATAGGAGGACTAAAAGAAAAAAGAAAAAAAGAAATCTGGGGACATGGATCTACAGGAGGAAGTCCAGAGGAGGCTACGAGGATGATCCAAGGGCTGGAGCACCTCTCCTATGAAGACAGGCTGAAAGAGTTGGGGCTGTTCAGCCTGGAAGAGAGAAGGCTCTGGGGAGACCTTATAGCAGCCTTCCAGTACCTGAAGGGGCTACAGGAAGGCTGGGGAGGGACTTTTTACAAGGGCAGGTAGTGATAGAAAAAGGGGAAATGGCTCTAAACTGGAAGAAGGTAGGTTTAGATTAGATATTAGGAAGAAATTCTTTCCTCTGAGGTTGGTCAGACACTGGAACAGGTTGCCCAGAGAAGCTGTGGATGCCCCCTTCCTGGAAGTGTTCAAGGCCAGGCTGGATGAGGCTTTGAGCAACCTGATCTAGTGGAAGGTGTCCCTGCTGATGGCAGGGGGGTTGGAACTAGATGATGTTCAAAGTCCCTTCCAACTCATACCATTCTATGAAAATGAGTTTAAAAGATCCATACATTTGTTAATCTGAAACTATAAAATACAAATTGCTGAAAACCAAGCTTAACTAGAAGCTCTAAAGAGAATTAAAAGAAGTGGGGAAAAGAGGGGTTCCCTAACCTTTTTAAGAAGGAACAGGACAAGATACAAACTGGTACAATGCTCAGAAGCAATAATAAAGTTAAGGCAGAAGACAGCGTAGGCATGATTTACGCTTTACCTCAGCTGTCATCAGTAAGGAGAAGCACACAGGCACTACTGAGAGAAATGAAAACAACCACATCCAATTTTATCTCAGGAAAAACTTTAAAGAGCATTAAATATTTTAATTACAGGGGACCTGATTCATCACCTGCTCCGAATCAGTACAAATAACATGTCAAGAGGGTAAGATTTTAATTTTAAACTGTCACATTATGGATATTTGTTTAGGATGGAGCATGAAAAAACCACTTTTGATCTATTTACAATTACAGTTAAATAGCAGAGAAAGTTTGACAACCACAGACTCATTCAGTGGTTGATATAATAAAGTGCAAAGCTCCAGGAATACAAGGTGGGTGGGGGGATAGGCAATGGATAAAGCACGACATGGATTTATCAACTGCAAATTAGACAAGATTAAATTATACTGCAATACAGTACAGCAAATGTTACTATGCCAGAGATTCATCAGCTAAAGTACAGAAAATGGAACTTACTGTAGCAATTAAAAGGCAGAAAAGAAACTGGCATAGGGAAAATATGGACAGACAGTGCTGAAAGCTGAACTATTGGTCCATATGAAGTTCAATGACCTATTTAAGTGCTAGTTTCATCTAATATTTTTCTTAATTGGGAAGATTTTTATAGAATTTGAAGACACTTTCAACACAGAAAAGGCTAAGAATATGCACATATAAATATATATATATAAAATATTTAAAAGGGAGAACTGAATCACTGACAAGGTCATACAACAGAGGTGGGAAGAACTGCTGTACTGCCCTGTACGTGGGCACTCATTTTTTTAAAGATCTAGTGAGACCAATTAAGTATTCTGGTACAAGATGTATGACAGGATAAAAAAGACTGAGTAAGGAAACATGCAACTACCACAGGCTCTACTCTCTTTCTCTCTAAAAATTGTATTTATTTATTTACAAAGTATAATCTGGATATGCATCCCATTCCCAACTGAGTATCAACCACTACACTGCTGTCTGGCTCCTTGTTTGCTCTCTGCCCCTAGCCTGGTTTTCTCTGCTCTGGAGACCCCCACATCCAGCATCCAGCTGAGCATCCCTGACCCTAACTGCCCCAGGACACGCTTCTTATATCCCTGCCTCCTCCCCG